GAAAAGTCGTCATTATCAAAGTCATGAAATTTTATTTTTTTTAAGATATTAATAATTTGTTTAATGCTATTTCTAACAACATACAATTTCTATTCGTTATCAACTTGTTTTAAATACTCTCCTTCTAGAATGTATTATTCAAAATGTTTCTGATTTAAATTATCTGAAATATATCCTATACTATCTTAAACTTTCTCCTAACGAAAAATTTTAATTATAACACTGAATATTTGTTCATCTATATCTTTAACTTAAGCAAAAATTTCAATCAAAGCTTCCTTCTATTCAAAATTACAATACATTTATTTTTTTTTAATTTTAATTTCTATTACTTTCTAAAAGCTTTATACCTAAAAATCTATAAAATAAATAAAAAAAGAATAAAAAATGTCAATTCCTTAGTATATTTTTTTTAATTGTTCTTGTTTATGAAGATCTATTCAGAAAAAATTGTTATTTTTCATCTAAATAATTAACTGAAAGGAAAAAGTATTAACAACACTGACTCACTCCTTGATATTTATAATAGTGTATATTTTAATTAAAGTGGTCTTGAAAATTGCTCTTCTTTTTTTTAAATAGAGAGTCTTGCAAAAAGCAGTTAATTTTGATATTTCATAACATGATACACAGTAATTTTCTAATCATATCCTCTTTAATATCATTTTTTTATAGAATATAGTAAGTAAGGAGGATTTCAATTTTGAAAGGTTTTATTTCTAAAAGAAGGATATGTTTAGCAAGAAAAAATCTTCTTTAATTGGAAATATTGCTGGCTTAATATTTATCAAGTTCCTTAGTTTTATTTAGAGATTTTTTTTAGGTTTCCTGTACTACTTCTCTCACTATTATTGTTCTCCTCTTTTTACCTCCTGTGGCTTGGCTAATTCGAATTGAAAAGGATACCTCGAATTCTAGAATGGAATCTTGTCATTTCATTAGAAGATTAAAAAATTAAATTGATTATCCGCCATAACATAAATGAATTTGATTTGTCTCCCCAGAAACAAATTTTTTAAGGAAGATTCAAAAGTTTAAATCTAAATAACAACAATACGCTAAGAATCTATTTGAAACAATAAATAGGTTTAAAAAAATTTCTCAACTCTACTAAAAAAAATAAAACTAATCCAACCTCATTATTTATGCACCCCTCAGTGTTAAATCTTTTCCTTGTTTATTTCTAATTCATTAAATTCCCTAAATTGGAATTAACAAAAAGTATAAATAAATTTATTGACTAATGGACAGGTTGAAATTTGAATTACAATTTTAGATGTAATCTTCCTTGCTTTTGAAGAACAGAAAAAGAAAAGATTTATATAATTTTAGTAATATTTTACAAAGGGGTACTTATAATAAATAGGGTTCTGAACTAACATACGGTAAGTAAAATATCAAACTGCTTTAATATTCAATTGCTTATAGATCAATTTAAATAGGATCTGATATTTTTAGTAAATAAATACACTTATTTCTATTGAATTTTCAGATACATTTATTTTATAACTATTGCATAATGATTGGATTCATTAATGTCTAAAATTCAGTAATATAGTAAATTTACATAATGATTTAAATAAATTTTTTAATGAAAAATACACCCTGTAATTAGGACTATTTAAAAAAGAAATTGTGAAGCAACCAGTAAAG